GTTGTTTTTTTTAATAGTCAAAAGAATTTATTTTAGCCATCAAAAAATTAACATGCTAGAATGCCTGATCTATCGAATATGGACCCTTTGAGTAAGTATTCAGGAATGATGGTGATGAGTTATGTAGAAAATCTATGGTTAAACTTGGAAAAACCAGCATACTGTTCTACAAACTGTCAAGTTGGGGTAACAGCAACCAAAGGATGGAACAACCACACAATAAAAACAGCCACACATCCATACCAAAAAACACCACAAACACTATAACTCTAGATTCCTAGACCCCATTGCAAAACCATAATCATGAGCAACCAATATGCCTCTTCTAAAACCCAGCACCCACATTTTAATATACCCCAAGAAAATCGCTATCAATGAAACACAAGAAAAGTACTTCAAAATATCAAGTCTGTATATGTTCAAGGACCTTAAAGAGAATATGAACAAGTGTCTAAATGAAGACTATGAAAACACAAATATTTGAATGAAATAATGGAGTAATTTATGATATAAGTTCTTTATTTTGAGTTTTATTTCTGTTTGGTTTTTGTTTAATGATTCTATTTGTTAGATTTGTGTTTTATATAGTTTGCTCATGCACAAAAATTGTTTTCAATGGTAAGTTTGATACAACATAAAATAAACATTACCCCTTCAAATATTAAAAAAATCATATTTATCAAATTTCATCCTTTAAACCTGATGTATGTATATTTTCTACATAAGTCGTATTAATCTGTTTTATACTTTGTTACTTCAATATTTTCACTGCATTCACAAATGTTAAACATGATCTCCAATTAATATCTGACCCTTAGATGTCTATGTTCCTACTGAACCTCAAATGACAAGACTGAGAACATACTAGATTAGCAGACTGGCTCTACAAAGAAAGTCCAAGCAAACCAAATGCAGGGTATCCAATCATTTAATCAATTGACTTTGTTTCTGTATAGGCAAAGGCAGTTATGATGGCTCATTGGAGTGCCCTGACTTCTTCCTAATGCATCCTGAATCTCTTTCATGAGTGCTGGCATGGCATTCCAGCTTGAACTTTTATTGTCTGTGTCATCTGTATCAGATAGCTTTTGGTTATAAGTAACTGAGAAACAAACAAAAATGTATTACATTCCAAATAAAATATATTCACTTGCCTTTATGGCCAGCTCAGTGGATTTTTCTTTAGGTGTGTCTGCTTTGCCTAGTTGTGAAAAGTCCCTCTGTCTATTTTCACCATTTGCTCTTAACCCCTATCTCTGCCTCCATCTCTATCTTTTTCTTTTACTCAGCTAGCTCTACTCACCATTGGCTCCATTAGTCATCATTATAAACTAACATAGTCCCAAAGATGAAGCAGAATCCAGAGTTACCTGCTTTTTCATTTTCTTCTAGTGTTAAAATGGGTCATTGTTCAAAACAAAGTTAAGAAAAAGAATAAATTTTGGTTTTGTTGCACTTGGATAGGCTTTATAAGATGGAAAATTGATGGGGGATATCCTTCTGTGTATATGTTTCTCTTATTGGTTGATGAATGAAACACTGTTTGACCAATAGCCAGCAGAGGCAGGAAGATATATGGAACTAGGAGATGAGGAGAATTCTGGGAAAGGTAGGCAAAGAGAGAGAGGAAATGATGCAGTGTAGTTGCCAAAGGAGAAACAGGTTCGGACATTCTCCAGTAAGCCAAGACCATGTAGACATACTTAGATTTATAGAACTGGGTTGATAATTAAGACAGAGCTAACCAATAAGAAGCCAAGGCCATTGAGCAACAGTTTTATAAATGATATAGTGTTTGTGTGCTTATTTGGAGCTAAAGTAGCAGCGGGACCTGATGGAACAAGAAAACTCCAGCAACAGAATAGATCAATAGCCATGAACCAATCACATCCATCTATAGAGTTTATAGAACAACCCTCAAACATACCTATCACACATTGTCGTAAAATGTTGCAAATATGAAGAATATGAAGGGTAAAGATATTAATAATGTGTTGGTGGCTCACGCCTTTAATCCCAGCACTTGGGAGGCAAAGAAAGACAGACATGGTGCATACTCACTCATATACGGATATTAGTCACGGATCAGGATAGTGCCAGTCTGAAATTCTACTGACAGAAAGTCTGGGAAACAGGAAAGAACCTAAGAGAGATATGCATGGTACCCCAGAGAAGAGGAATGAGGCAAGATCTCCTGAACAGATTGGGAACACGGCTGGAGGTGGGGGGGTTGGGAGCTGGGAAGAAGAGAGGGGGAGAAGAGGAGGAGAGAGTAGGTCATGGGGGAACAGGAAGGTTGAGTGAGGGGTAGAATAGGGGGAGAACAGGATGAGAAATAGTAAAATAGAGGGAGTCATAGGTTTGAAGAGAGATCTGGCACTCTAGTGATCTAAAGGATGATACCAACTGGCAAGCTAAGCAATAGTGGAGAGACCACCTTAAATGCCCATTCCTGATAATGAACTTGACGTCTACCTTCTATGCCATCCTAGAACCTTCATCCAGTGACTGATGGAAGCAGAGGCAAACACCCACAGTTAAACACTGAACTGAACCCATGGAAGCCAGTGACAGAGAGAGAAGAGTGATGAGCAAATTGGCAAAGAAAGGGCTGGCGAAACCAGCAGAGACAGCTGATCTGAACAAGGGGGGGATCTGGGAGGACAGACCCCCTGAGTGTGAGAGTCAGTGAGGAGGCCTGGGCATCCTATGGGGCCCTGGGCAGTAGATAAATATTTATCCCTGGCCTACAAATGGACTTAATGTGTCCATAACACAAAGAGGGATGCTCTCTCAGCCTGGACTCTTAGGGGAGTACCTGGACCCTTCCCTGAGTGAAATGACAGACTCTGGATATCCCCTATGTGGAAGGAAGTGGGGATTGGGTGGGAGGCTGGGGAGGATGTTGGGGGGGGTGCAGGAGGACAGGAGGGAGAGAGAACTGGGATTGACATATGAAGCAAGCTATTTAAAATTAAAGTAATAAAAAAGAAAAAAGATATTAATAAAATATCTGTAATGGAGAAACTTGGCTGTATTGCCTAGATTTTAGGGAGTCATGATTCATTGTAATAACAAACAAATAAAATAAATAATTGCTTGATGTACACATACATTTTCCTAGTTTTCAATTTTAATCAGTTAAGATTTTCTAACTGCAGTTCAAGACCATGCTTGGAAAACTCAATAAAAGGGCAAAATCCAACTGTAATGTGTTTTACATTATTTTTAATTTGTAAACTAGTTATGTGGCTCTTAGTTGAGGTAAAGAACCTTCTTGGTATCTTTACCTACATATCAATATGAACAATTAATATAACTTTAAGAGTATATCATACACTAACAAGTTAATTATCTTGGATGAGTCATAAGTAGTTTTATGAAGAACTTTTGTGCTCACTTACTATCTGGAAAATATAAATAAAAGAATCTGTTTTGTGAAAAATGAAAGCATCACAAGATATCAAATTCTTCTCTAATTTTAAGCACATTTGAGTTTTCCAAAAAAACAACAATAACCATTAATACACGATAAGAACTTTATATGACACAGTGCCTTAGCAGATCTTTCATGTTGCATCTTTCACACTGGAATTGTAGAGTTTCAGCACTCAATCTCAAATTTCCTTCCAGGCTTCATATATGATGTGTGTAACTTCATGTTATAAGTCTAGCTAGAGGGCTTCATTTCATGTTGTTAAGACATTTTGCTCTCTAGAAGGCAGTTGATGTCATGCTTTGCTAGTACATACAGCAGTTTGTGGGTTACAAATGTGCTGGGGCATATATCCACCTTTGAGTCTCACAAACATGTGGCTTTCTATGTTTCGGTAGATGCAAGCATGGGGCCTTTTCTGGGGAAGTGAGATGAGGGATTATAATGTTATCACAGGAAATGCCAGTTCCCTAAAAGGTGGATAGTTGCTGAAAAGCATAAAGGACTCTAATCATCACTGAATTAACAAATTCAGGGCAGCAGAGACAGCTCAGCAGGATGAACACCTGACCAAAAGCTGATGAGATTGATCCTAGTATTCACCTGCTGGAAGGAGTTAAGTGACTGCCAAGGTTTGTCTTCTTTCATCCATACATACACTGTGGCATATGCACCCCCCCTACATACCCACACATGCTGAAAAGTTCATGTCCCTAACACCCAGAAATCTTGAATTTGGAAATGTTGTCTTCAAAACTTATTTTAATTCTTTTGTTGCTAGGAGAAAAAGACATGATGTAAAAAACACTGGTTGGATGGAGGCCCTGATCTGGCCACATAAACCCGAAGGACTGAAGTCTTAGCTGACAGTAGCCAGAGACCTTTAATAACAAGTAAAGACCATCTCTTCTTCAGAACTTGAATGATGAAGCTGAATGCAGAAAAGAGATACAGCCCACAACGTTCATCACACCACAGGTAGCTTAACTGCTTCAGTTTTATCCTGCAAAGTCCAACAAGGCCTGACAAACTGCTCCACAGGAGGAGAAGCATCTCCCAGGCAATGATGCGTATAGACAGAGGGATTTTTTTAGTCAATTGAAGGAATTAGACTTTAATGCTTTATACTAAAAGACTTTATACCCCAGATAGCTGCTGGTATTCACTGACTCTTGGCAGACAGTGAGACTGCCAGAGAGCTACTGCTATCCGCTGAACCCTGGTGGGCAGCGAGCCTTCCAGAGCTGAACCTGTGAAGCCATGCTAAGCAGATTCTCAGGCATGTACAAATGCTTTATTTGTGAAACTCCTTTTCTTTGGAAAACATCTAAACTTCCCATTTTCTCCTTCCAAAAACCATCCCAGCTTCATTAATCTCTTAGATTTTAATCACAATCACCATTCAAATGCATCCCCATTAGAACACAGAATGGGACAGATCCCTGCCTATCAAAAGTCAGTAGTTTTGAAATGAATAATTACACACATTTCAATTTAATATATTTACAAAAAATGATCAAAGTTCTTAAAGTATTCACCAGATAAAGAACCACAGTTACCTTACCATTATATGGGAGTTTTAGAGGGCTACAGGCATCATTATCCATTCTCAGTTTTGGCAAACCAATGAGTTTTTGAGCGAAGGATGCAGAGATCGGCTGCACTAACAAGGAGGTGAGGTTTGGTCGGCTCTGTTTAAAGCTTCCATCTGTATGCAAAAGAGAAAAGACCCAAATCCTTAACAAATAGAAACTGAAAACAATCACAGACAAGTTCTTTGTAATTAAGTCTATGAATTTTGAGTAGTAAGTCTATATTTGTTCATTTATTGACTCATATTCAGCTTCTTAAAATGATTTGAAACACTATTAAATTATTTAGTCTGAATAACATTATATTCCCCCATCAACAACATACACAGACATTTACCATCAGTTCTACCACTATGATTCACTAAGATAACAAGAAAGGAATAAAAACACAGAAGGGAATGGGAGCCAAGATAGCAGAGGAGGGCTGGACGGTAGGAGATGAAAGGTACTTAACTAGCAGGTGAAATAGTGAGTGGATCCCAGAGATTGGAACTGAAGTTATGGAGAGGAGACTGAGAAGTAATGTGGCTTATATCACAGAATTCATAAGGCCCAGGAGCTGGCAGTTCCTGCAACCTTCGACAGGCTAAAGAAGGGGGAGCCTCTGAAACGCCATGCGAAGTAGGCCAGTGTACACAGTCAGTGTGGATGCCTGGCCCTTCAACATGCTAATGGGAAGTAAGGAGACACAGAAGAGGGAGGTTTCAGATGATGATGAAGTTACCATGTTAAACAGGATACTGCTAGGATGTCTGAGAATTCACATGGTCAACACTGTGCCCAATGTCTTCAGGCAGTAAAGCATTTGCTAGCAGTAGATATGAGCAGACCAGTAGAAAATATCTTCTAAAATCAATGAAAATATGAAGGCCACCGATAAAACCAACTTGTCCAAGAACTCTCACACCTAAGCCCATGATCAATGAATACTACCTACATTCAAAACTAAAATCAGCTTAATTTTTTCCATTATTGAGAATAATCTCTCAGGCAAAGTCATCTACACAGAAGTGTGAAGCTGTGAGCACAGGTCAAGAGGCTGAGGGGAACCCACAGGACAACAGAATGAATGTGGATGCATGCCAGATGTGAGCCAAGGACTCCAGAGAACATATACAGTAAGATTGGAGGTAGGATTTAAAGATTTCCCAGATATACAGGAAAAGATGTATTATCTAGAGACACCAATTAGCTTTAACAGGGCCATAGGTTGTGTAAAAAAGAAATACAATAGGACAGTCTGACTAAGAGTGGTATAATCATTATCACCATAAGCATAAAATGTATTTCAGGAGAATGGAGATGAGGAAAAAAGTTGGAATGATATATATGAGACACAAAGGTAAATCCTGATGATGCAGAATGATGAGATGGTCAGACTAATATTAGAAACTGATCAAAAATACTGTTTGAAACTGAAATACAATCCTGGGAAGATGGTCTCAGAAGGGAAATCCTAGCCTTGCAAGTGCAAGATCCTGAGTTAGTTCCCCAGAGTCCCCATGTTAAGGGGTGGGGACATGCTGATGTTGTGGGATACATATGGAATCACAGCAGAGACAAGAGACGTCCTCTAGGGAGCCTTGTTTAATCCACAAGTTCCAGACTACCTATAAGAGACTAAATCTGTAACGAACAAGCAAACAAGCAACAAACCAGAAATGTACCTAAGAAGCAACATTCAAGGATGCCATTAAGCTGCCATACACACGCACAGGTACAAGCTCACCTCACATACATGTGTATCTATACATGAACATATACACTGAATAATAAAAAGGTTGTAACTCTAACACATATGGAGGAGTAAGAAGGAAACTATAAAACATGGGCGACAAGGAAAGATGCCAAGCCAATTAATTGTGTACTTGGGAGAGATCAAGAAAAGGAGACATAGGAAGGAGTGGAGCAAGATAATTTTAGGAAGTAAAACCTCTTCAAACTATTTGGGTAAGTAATGAACTATATTTGTCTTTACTTTTAATAAAATGCAGATCAAACAAAACTGTCAGACAAAATAATTATGACAATGTACAGCATACTCAGAGAACAGTGTTGGAGACAATGAACCAAATGTGCTCAAGCAAACAAGAACATACCTGGTAAAACTATTTTATTGCCTAAGAAAAGGAAATTCACAGTTGAATGCTGACAGTTATGGTTTAGAATGCAGTACCATAATTTTCAGAACTTTTATTAGAGAAATGATTCCTAGAGGTTTACTTGGAATTTAATTTGATACATCTGCAGGTGGTGCAGGGCCTCCATGATCCTGGTAACCAGGTTCCAGGAGGCAAATTATACATGAGAAAATATGTTTGTGAACCACTTTTTCAATTTATCATGTGGATAACCACAAGACAAAATATTATACTTTGCTTAAGGCTATAGCTGTCATAGAAGCTGTGGTTTTGAGTTCTGTTGCAGAAGCACAAGGATGGTCTTGGGTATCTTTTACTACTTTATAACCGTGTATGACAGTGAATTTAGACCACCATGTACATCATTGCTCCTTGACTGTTTCTTGTCAAAGACCATGGTAAGATATATAATTTACATAGACCAGAGTAAAGTGACAAATAGGACTGATAATTGGAAAAGCAGGTACAATGAACATTCTTCCTGCCAGCCTTGTCCCAGAGCTGCATCAATCTCAAATAACTCAGAGACTCTATTAGTTACAATGCTGTCAGCCAATGTCCAGGGCTTCTCATTGGCTAGTTATGTCTTAAGTATTAACCCATAACTACTAATATATATATATATATATATATATATATATATATATATTTCTATAAGGCCTTATCTTACCAAGGACACCAGCCTCATGTGTCCTTTCTTCAAGTGATCACATGGTGACTCTCTGCTCTTGACTACATTTCCCAGACTCCTCCTCAATTCCTAGTCCCATCTATCTTGCTTCCCTATTGGCCAACAGTGCTTTATTTATCAACCAATATGACAAACATATACACAGAAGGACTTCTCCCATCAAGCAGGAAGAGTTTTGATATAGCAGCAACATAGTATAAATGAATTGTGTGGTCCTTCAGAAAGGACAATTTGGGATTGCACAGATCATATGCTCACAAACCAGAACCTGCACAATTCACAGACATCATGTTAGGAATAATATAGCCTGCTAGGATAATGTGACAGTGATATTCAGGTTTCAGGAAGTTGCTTTTAGCCAATACTGATAAGTCCTCTTCTGTTCCAGCCTGTACATTAGGCTAAGACAGTTCACATAGCCAAACACAGATCATATCTGATTGGCTGTAGTATCTTTAAGCATACTAATATGTTATTTTCAAAAGTTCTACATATTGTGTAATACATATTAATAACATCCACCCATCACTACCTCCCTCCTAACTTTCTAGTACCCCCACCTTCCTATCTTCTTGTTCTTTAATTTTTACTTTCATTTAAAAAATGCCATATGATATTCCTGTGCATGCTGCTTTTGTAGCATTTCTATTTACCTAGTGAAGTTTTTCTTCTTTCTTGCAACTTTTTAAAATTTTGACTTCATATATATATATGCATACATACATACATATATACATACATACATATTGTAATATTCCAAGCAGACAAGGCTTAGCAGAAAGAGAGCCTCAGGGGTCCCACTCTTTAAATCACAAATCATCCTGGACTTCATCTGACTTTTTATATACATTCTCACCTTTTAGCTCACTCTCTCTTACTTACAAGGCAAAGCTGCCTTACATCCCTGACAATGTGAAATCTGTGATTGCAAAGTTGTCATGGATGTCAGGAATTGCTATATTTTCAATAACAAATAAAGCCTCTTAAGGTTATGAATAATGTCATGTCTACCACATGAAAAGTAATCTTAAGCCTTGGGTTGCCAATATTCACACATTATCTGCTAACACCCAGTTTGTTCCTTTGTGTATTCTGTGATCCACATATACTGTGAATTGATTTACATCATTAATTTTGAGAAACCCATTCTGAGGTCATCACACATGTCTAAGGCACTCATTTTCTGTAAAGTCCAACTCAAAGCCACTTCCTACAGCAAGTTTCTACTGATTATCCCAGCTTTATCTCTTCACTATTTTGGTTTGCCTTTAGTTTCTAGTTATTATAATCACTAAATGAAATTACTTCCCTTTTCCTGTTAAAATATGACATGTGGTGCCGAGCATATTGTAAGGGATCAAGCATTTAAAAAAGACAGGTGAATCAAGAATAGTTTGAAAATATTGTCTTTCTGGGTCTGAGCATACCTACAAATACAACATGGGTACAAATAAAAGTGTATGTTACTGCTCACACTTCGATCAAACTTTATTGATAGCAAGCTATTAACTCTCAAACAGACACTCTAAATATATTTTCAAAGCTCATTTGTTCCCATTAACTCACCAGTTAATCATGTTCTAAAGCAATCACTGGTAGATGAAAGCATTTCAATAAATAAATCATATTTAAATATATTTATCAAATAATAAAAATTCAATATTCCACTTATATTTTTCTCTGAGATGCTCTATTAAGCACATAAAACAATGGATTTAAAAGTTAACTATGACTGAACCTTAAACCGAAATTGAACATTCCTACATCTTTGATGGTTTTTTGCTGCATGACTAATAGACTTGCTTAGTTTGGAAATATACTAAGTAATTGGTTCATTAGCTTTTCACTTTCACCTTAATGGAAATCTGACAAACAGTTCACTTCTTAGAGCAGCTACTAAAAGCAGGGGTTTGCAGGACACTGAGATTAAATTACATTCACAATCTATGTTTTATTAAAGGACTAGAATTTCATTTTCTTAAATGTTAATAATTTTTGAATGCAGCTAAACCTGTATACCAGTTAATTTAGTTATATATTAAAGCATATTTATGAACTATAGGAATCTATTATACATGATACAAAATGAAGTGGGTTATGTGTAAAGATACAACAGGTATTAGATAAGAAAATACTTTGCAAAGCAATGAGTATTTTTGTAGTAGTGGTTTCTGTTTCCTGACCTGTATTATCTACCTTCAATAACCATTGACATCAGCCTGTAGTACAGCTGATGGCCAAGTGTCTTTACTTTCTGTATATGTTATTATCTAAAGAGGAAGGA